TAGAATGGAGGCCGCGAAGACTGCCAAATGAGTCAGTCATCTGAAAAAAACGCATGCGTATGTTCAATGTGAGCTAACTGGATGGCATAAAGCTACCACAAAACGCAATTTCCTGGAGGCGGGACCAAAATTATTGCAGCCATAAAGAGTTAGTTTGCGTGCGTGGGCCCATCTACTTGGCAGATTCTTGTTGAAGTTTCCTAACGCCCACCTCCTTGTTTCATCTCTTCATCATGGCCACTTCACGGGTACTACTAAAATACCTTTTCAATTACATGGGCGGCCCTGGAGAAATTATAAAAGCCAGAAGCCCTGTAATGCATTAAACTCACCTACTGTTCTTAGCCAACCCCTGCAGCAAATGAGATGGAGGCTCCGCCATGCAAAAAATGGTGAATAAAGCGTATACTATCCGCCGAATACTAATTCTGTCCCTTTCGAGCACTGCATTAATAAAACTTGTGAGTTGAGGGAAGCATAGGAGATGGCAGCCTATACACAATCCAGAAAAAGAGTAATGTTTACGGGAGAGTGCAATCCGACGATTTTCAGAAACAAAACAAACTTCTGACACAAAGTTTTAGCCTCGATATATCCCACTAAATATTAGCAAGGGGCTGAATAACACTCCGGTTTAGGGTTTCGCTTTCAATATGCAACAACGGTTCAGTCCTCTTATTTATTCTTCTTAGTTGTGATTAGATGCGATCAGTGCCTCAATGTCATGAAGAGATTATGGGCATAAATCGATAGTAACAGAGGTGGAACAAATACTAGTTTGCAAAATCGTCAACAGACAACTAAGTGATGGAAAAAAGCTGTCAGTTAAAAAAACCAAGCGCTCTCTTGCCTTATCTATTCACAATCTACCCGATTTTCAACTTCCAGCAAACAGCAAAGACAGAAAATGCTACAGGATAGACAGCCTGATTCGATTTTTAGATAAGCAAACAGTGGAGTGTTGCAAGATCAGGAAGACAAGTTATATATCAATGCTCTTATAAATTCGAAATTAGCCTAGGGATTTCTGTTGGTCGTAAGGATGAAGAAACACACGGAGAAAAACCTTAATAACGTGAAGTATTCGGGCGGTAAAAATGAAGACTGGCTTACCATCCATGCGCTCCTCTTGCAGAAGTTTGGGGAATTCGGCAATGAGACGATCCATATGGTCCCCGATCAGACTCTGCTCACAGGTTTTCAGCAGACCTACCTGTGTGCTAATGTGCAGGTAGGTTTGAACACGGTTCCGCTCCTCCTTCAGACGCACTTCAACCTGAAACGAAAAAAAACCATAAGTGTACCAAAGCAGTACGTAAGTGCAAGTTATAATCGGCTTAAAAACGACAAGAAACGGTGTGTTCGATGGTTTTTCGTCAACCTTCCCGCAGTATATCCTCAGCCAAAGTAGATTATACTCAAAACTCCACATTCTTCTCAGCATATAGGTCCTGCGTCTTGGAGGTTACTGTTTAATCCCGAAACACGTACAAGCAAGCATACTCTGTCATTCGACGCAAAGTTAGGCGAGGTTTACCACTAGGTGTGCAATGGTTACATGACCGTAGGATGAAAATAAGTGAGAAGGCATGCTGCATCGACTCCACTTGCTCTCTTTATTGTTACTGTTCTATTTTTAGGCTTTTGTCAGAATGGATGCAATCGAGATTAGACACGTCGCGCAAAAATTCATTTCACTCCAAACTTACACCTCGGCTGATTCTTCGCACCAACCAAGCAAGACTTCATACTATATTATTCCCAAGTTTAGAAATAGTTTTAGACGCTCTCCCTTCTCCCCCCACCCCTAAAAATGAACCATCCTTGCCTGGCGCTTAGTCCCATGGGCGAAAGTAGCTTGGTTAACTCAAGCCTTGCAAACAACGACCGCTATGTCGTAATCACTTGATTGTGAAGCAGGTTAAGTTGGTGGACAAGGTGCGTGGTATCGAACACGTCAGTCAGAAGACTTAA